CTTTTGGGCTTTGGGATTATGAGTAATGCTGCTGTACACACTCTAGCATGCTCCTCATGAAGATGGGTTTTGATTCTCAGCTGGAAGTGACACTGCTGAATCTTTTGATAACTGTTTTTAATACTTTGAAGAACTGCTAAGTTGTTTCCAAAGTGGTTGCACCATGTTATATCATTATCAGCAATGTATAAACTTGCTAGTCCTTCCACACCCTTACCTGCACTTATTATCTTTTCAAAATGGTAGCCTTCCCAGTGGATCATGAAGTGTTTCTCACTACTGTTTTGATTTGCATTCCTCTAGTGACTATGACATCAAGCAAAATTTATGTGTGTTCCATCTGTGTATCATCATAGGAGATGTATTAAATGTGTATTTTTAGAAACCTTTAGTCAGTTATGTGTTATATGAAATACTATATTCAAAATCTTTTTAGCTCCCATGTGTGACTTTCCCATCAAATAACATGTTTTCTTATCTGCAAATTCCTTTTGGTGTTTAAATAGAAACACAATGTCTAAAACCAGAAAAATGTTGAAATTCCACAGTATATTTTAACATGGGGGTTGGTGGGAAATTTTTCATTTGACTAGAAAGCTCTCTCTAGCTATAGGGCCATTACGTAAATCTGTTAGAAGCCAACTAGTAAGGGTTTCTAAAGAAGACACATGACTTAGAAAATATGAATTATGGGAAACTCAAGAGGGTGAAGTAACATAAAAGCAAAACATAAATTCAGTTTTAAATAAGGACATTTAAGAAATGTTACAGAGGTAAAGAAACAGGCTTGAGACTTACTTGAATTTCCGGTGGAAAGTGTGAAAGATAACTAGGAGTTATTCCCCAGAACCCTGAATGGACCATGATGTCATTTGTCCAGAAGGCGGGGTTGGGATTGGGCTAGAAATAGCATGAAGGTGGGCAGGTTACATGACAGTGGCTTGCATTGTGGACAGATGGGGAAAATAGGTACTCAATGTGTTTGGGTCTGGGGAGGATGGCTGTGTGGTACTGTGGGACAGAGGAGGTAAGGCCACCCAAAGAACCCAGCAGGGTGCAGGTAAGAGTTCAGGCCTGGGTCTGGGTTAACGGAGCTGGTGGGAAAAGGAGCACTGCAGTCATTCATTCAGCAAGGATAAACCCTACCTTCTTAACTCCTTTCAAGCCAAAGCCCTCCAGCTGGGAACAATGGAGAGCTTAATTCAGTGATACAGTTATGAAAGACTGATGAATGAAAATAATTGATCCTCATTATCTCTTCAACACCTTTAATGCAGTGGTAACAAAGATCACCTGTCTTCCCTTGGCAGTCTCTGAACTGAATCAAGCATCCTGAACTTCCTTGACTACAGAGGTTTTGTTTTAACTTCTCAACCTTTCTTTCCAATGAAAACAAGTAGACACAAACAACAACTAAATAATGGTCTGAATGCCACTCCATTCACAAGAAACTAAGGTAAAACAATCAAGTCAGCAGATCTTTTAGGCTACCCACTCTGGCTCCAATCTATAACCCTGTAGCAATTATGGGTGAGGAATCTTCTGCCAAAACAGCTAGTACAAATGTAACCTTTCTCCCCACAGACCATAGCATCCTCCCACGGCCAGGAAGAAGCTCGATAAACACTATATGCTTAACAAGTGATCAAAGTTATATAAATACTAAATGTGAGGAATGACCAATGGGAGAACCTGGGGCTTCTGTGAGAAGCTGAGGGTACCGCGCTTCCTGTTTCCTGTAGGTGGCGCCAAACTCCTTGAAGAAAGGGAGAACCAAAGTGAAAGTCTGTTGAAATGTCTGTCTACACCGAAACCCTGGAGAACCTGCTTGTGAGTTGGCAGTCTCTCTCCCAAAGCAGCTCTTCTTCACTATGTTGGCAAGCTCTGGGTCTCAGAAATGATTCACCTGCCCTGCGTTATTTATGAGCCGCCCTTTCCCTCTGAGTGCCCAGCCCCGCATTACAGGATGACTAGCTCCACCGCGGAGCTCAACTGTGTTGGGAAAATGGAAGGTTCTTTACAGGAGCTATTAAAAAGATTGGCAAAGGTAAAGAATGCTTTAAAGCCATTAGGATCCCGTGCGTTAAGTTCTAGTGAAGAAATGTCACAAGGCTGCTATTTAAAGCCACCAGCTAGAAACGAGTATCCACAGGTAATCAGCAATAAGTTGCTTCAGTATGCTCTTGATCTGCCAGGCTTGTCAGTGGATCCCCAGGTATGCACTTCCCGGACATAGCCAGGGCTGGGGCATTGGTCCTCACCATTATGAAGTGGTGGGCAGTTCCTAGGGGTGGGGTGGCAGTAGGGAGGAGTAAAGAGGCTTCTTCAAGCTGGTAATAAAAGATGCTGTGTGCAGGGTGTGTCTCTGAGGGCTCTACAGCCAAGCAGGAACTGGGCTATTTCATCCCAGGTTTTCACTTGCATTCTCTAGATCCGATTTTTACAACAAACAAACACTTTCCTCCAACCTCCTAAAATTCTTTAACAGCAGCCGCCAAAACCAACTTGTACTCTGCACAATTATATAAGACCGAGCAGTGTACTGTTCTCATTTTTGAAGCTTTGTTTTAAGTTCGCTCATTAATCTTTCAGTCTTTTCCCATCTCTGCCTGACTATAACTGCCCTGAATTTATCCAAGCCTGCAGTATGCCAGGCTCACTGGTGTCTAAATCACCAGGAGCTGAATACACATTCGACTCAGGGGACTCTACATTTCCATCAGAAAGAACCAATCACAGCTTAGGATAGGTAAACCTCTTTTTAATTGTATTCTATGATACTAACAGGCATTCATTACACATGGACCTTAAAACAAGATTTGCTCTTGGCTGCTCATAATTGTATTTCTACAGCAGTTTAAACCATTGGCACCTGCAATTGCTAGCAGGCCTAAGCTACGAATTTCTATTATCCCAGTTTCAAGGGTTACATTTAAAATAAAACTCAGAGGGGCAAAACATTACATACACACATATTTACACAAATTAAATACTATGCACAAGTCAATACCTTCTGCACACAAAACTACATTAAACTCAATTAGCCCTAAGCAAAACCACAGGAAACAGGTTTCTGGTGAACCCGGGGTGCTCTTCCCTCTACTAGAGAATATAAAAGCAGCCAGACTATGGAGTTCTGCACAAGTGTCAATAAAGGCTTTTAAAAAATCATTATCAATACTGATTTCCTAATTAATTAGTGTATATAAAATTAGCATAGACCAATCCAATTCAAGGAATTTATATACACATGACCCCTGACTTCTGAGTGTAAAAGAAGAAGTGCTCTTTAAGCACACAGAGGTCAGCCAGAGTTTTCCAGAAAAACATATTTCTAGCCCTGGGCCACAAAAGAGCCACCAAACTAAAGTACAATGTCCTTCTTGTTATGGTTTCCTTCTTGATTATGGCCAAAATTAAATTATACAAATATTTCACTAAATATCTTCTCAAACCTTATAAATATTAATATGAGCTCAATCTCCTATGTGCCCGGCATTTAAAAATCCATTTAAAAATCTTGGAAACTAATTTAAGATTTCCATCTAGAATACAAATTAGCAAGTCCTCCTCCTAGCTCTGTTTCGCTCAGTACCCATATCTGCACATTTAGTACTGAATGTCAGTTGGTAGCACTTAGAGACCATGAATATTAAAACCACGCATGGCCTGCTAACATATTAGAGCAGGGCAAGCGTTGAGTTTGTCATAAGCTGAGTTTGCAGTGAACAAACTACTGCCTCTACATCACCACAGCCTTTTTGTTAATTCCCCGGTTGTGCAAAGCAGACACAGAGGGTGGAATTTTACTGCTAAATAGACAATCTGGGGGGATTGCAAAAATTAAACTCTGTTTTAAAAACCCACCACCATGTAATACCACTTGGCTATTTGTCTTCGAGTATTTACTTGAGGACTCTATCTGAACAATGTCAGCTATTGCTAAACGAGTAAGTGCTAAGGCAACTTTACACACAAATGTGGTATTTTATATACATGCTCTTATTTGCACACCACCTTTGCACTACCTTGTGTATATATTGTACACATGAATACTTATCTTTACATATACACTACCCCACATCAAATGATGTGCCTTGCAAGGGCATTATCTCTCTGGAGGTTAGGACTTACTTGAGCTAACAAGCACATTTTAGAATGCTAAGAGCCTTTCCTTCAACCTCCTTTCTCTCGAACTTTATTATTCTGCCATCATTCTGATACCTGCTGGATACTCCTCATCCTATAGGGGGTAAGGACCCAAGAAATACTTACTTTTCATGTGCATGAGAAAAAAAAAACATTTTACATGCAAGTCTTGTTTGTGCAAGCATTTGCTCATCTAGAAGACTAAATAAAGGTATGTTCTGATTAAAATACATGAGATTATTTTATTTTACTTAATCAAAAAAAAAGGTACATTGGGAATCATGTATGAAGCACATGGGAAACCAACTGAATTACTGTGTAAAACACGGCTTCTTCATCCCCAACTGCCTGGTACAGAAAGGAGAGTATGGTTGGTATTGAGTTCAGGACCCAAGTTCAAAATGAAGCACACTACTGCCTTCTAGGCTCATGAGACCAGCCTTGCTGTCTTCATGTGTAAAATGAGGCAAAAAGTGGTGGTACCCCTTCACAGATCACTGAGGAGATCAAATAAAAGGATGCTCACAGGGCGCTGGGCACAGGGAGTGCTCATAGATGCTGCTTGCTATCAGTCTCTGGGGTGACATTTTATTAAAACATCTTGATCATGTTTCATTAGACGGCTCTGCAGTTCTTTGTCTCTCTATTAAGAATTGTCTTAAACTTGGTAAATTTTTTTAACTCAATTTTCTGCCATTGGCTCCACAGCTCTCCAAATCACGCTAAATTATTCTCCTGTTTTCCTAGACTTTGAGAGATTCAGATTCTTTTTGAAAATGATATACTAAGCCCACCCTTTTGAGCTGATTCTTCCAGCTGCTTAATCATTTCTATTGACCTCTGCTTCTTACCAGATTAGCCAAATCTCTCTGATAGGAAGACACCCAGGATAACAATCGGAACAAACCTCTTAAAAGCCTAAAAACTAGAACTTGTTGAAATCCCTTCTACTTTATGCCTTTCATCACCTTTAAGTTCCATGCCACATCCCATTGTGACATTTCATTAGTGTCTTACATCACAACAGATGTTCTATCCAGATTTCAGACTAATCTCTCTTTCTCCTTCTCCCTCTTTCTCATAACTAGGAAGAAATGGTACAACTAGTTACAAAATTGTTTGTGGATAAAATAACATGTCCCTGGCATATAGCTAGTTAAGTTTTATAAGTCATCATTAATTCATTCAATGGATAATTTAACATCTATTATGTATCACAATAAGTAGGGCTCACATGGTTTTGTAAAAATATATTTTATGCTCTAAACTCTGGTTCCTGACAATAGTGTCTGAAATGAATGTTGTGATTTTAAGGGTTAATTAATTATTACTTGGCTATGTAGGACTCATATCTACAAATCTAATCTCTTTTGGGAGAGAAATTCTAACTGTACTAAAAAAGGCCCTATGGTATTCCATATATTTTGGGATATGCTAATGAGATATAAACATGGGTCTGCACATAATGAAGGGAAGGGAATGTGGAAGTATTTTGTTTCTCTTCAGCTGAGTGGGACCTGGGTTTTGTATTTGGTTCTGCTTTTTCTACTGAGTTTTATATTCATTCAGTTTATAATGCATGAGTTACACAAACTTTCAAGTACTATGTCTACCTGCAATAAAACCCCCTAAAAAAAATCACAATGGAAGACTCACAATTCAGTCCATTTACTTTCCCTTCACTGTCTCTGCCAGTTTCTAATTTAAAAATACCAATGGAATATTTTTCAGTGTTAAACTATAATTTGAAATTCTGCCTGGCATGGGGTGGGATTTGTTGTGGAATATTATTTTACCTGGGCAAAGATTTGTTATATTTGTTTGTGCTGCAGAATATTACTTTAACTGTGTAATGTATGTTACTTTTGTTTATGCTGTATTTGTTTAATTATAAAAAGATGTTTTGCATTTGTTTCACCTTGCCTGCCTAACTCACATGATTAGTCTAATAAAAAGCTGAATGGCCAATAGCTAGGCAGGAGAAATGGTAGGCGGGGCTAGCAGGCAGAGAATAAATAGGAGAGAAAATCAAGAAGATGCTCATGAGAAGGAGAGAATGAGGGCATGCCTGGGGCAAGGAGACAGGAAGATGCAAGACAGACAGACATAGGGAAGCAGTGAAAATAAAATATACAGAAGTAAAAAAGTAATTAGCCCCGAGGCAAAAGGTAGATAAAGAGAAACAGGTTTATCAAGTTAAAAGAGCTAGAAACATGCCTAAGCTAGACCTAGTCTGTGTCATGATTGGGAGCTGATTGGTGACCCAAAAGAAAAAGTCTGGTACAGGGATTCATCTTTCAGTACCTGAGGTCAGGTCCCTCCCATCTGAAAGCGGAATCACAGTTGCTCCCAATCACATCAGCACTGGATCTGTGCCTCCAGTTGCTCATGTGTCCTGGGCATCTCTTCCTCGTGTTTACTCTTTTCACTGTCTTTTGTTTACAAAGATAGTTATTGAGTTACTTTAATTTGTGTCTCAGGATACCCCTTGTCAGTCCTCAGTAGACACAACCTCCTTTAGATATCTGCAGGAGATCACAAGCCTGAGCTGTTCCGTTCACTTCTTAAGTTAAACCTGTTTAAAAAGACTGTGCTACATCTTCTCATCTGGTCTTGAAGCTATAGGATTCTGTTTTAATCATTCATCTATAATACAGGGTTTTGCTTCCTTTTTTTTTTTCATACTGCAGTTTGGCTCATTGACCTTGGTCTTCAGTGTGTACCATACTTGAAGACTACTTCCCAGCAACACAATTTGGTTAAGGAGTTCAATGGTGCTTACTGTGAGTGAGCTACCATTCTTAGGATGGGGGAGGAAACTGGAAGGACTTGCCTCCAAATCCTACTTTTCCCACCATCATTGAGTCATGGAGTTTACCCTGCACTGGAGACTGATAAAGAGGTTCTTGCAGATGTCCTAGTGTCTAAAGCAAAACTAAAGCCTGGCTAGCACCAGGCTCACATTCCAGTCCTGAACTTCCGAACAAGTAAGACCTGCCTGGGGGAACGGAATCAGTAGAATAACAGCTCTCTGCTGCACACCATGCAGAAACTAAGGTCATCAAAGAAAGATCAGGTTAGTCATTTCCCAAGTCAACTGACACCATCGATGGCATTGGAGATAAAGGAAAAGCAGGCTAGAACAAGGAGAGCAGGATTCCTTGACTAGAGGCAGAAGTAGAAGAATGGTGGAGATGAGGTTGCTGAATCAGGAAAGTGCAATCTGATTCACCATAAAGAAGAATGAGACAGTTTCTTCCAGAAACCAGCATGGGTTCCTCACTGTGGTTACTTCTGGGGATTTGTTGCCTTTTCAGATAATTTCATGGGTATTTTGAGGAAGATGTTGTTCATTGCACTTCCTCTCACTCCGCTATATTCTTGGAAGTCAGTGGTTCAATCTCAAATGAAACTTCTGACTAACGTTATGTTCAGTTATTTGTGCTCTCCAAACAATAAGTATTTTTAGGCAAAGATTTTCTAGCCTCTCCAACTAAACAAAAGAGCCTCCTACACAAAACCACATATTTCCATTCAGAAAGCCCTGCAGGCAGATCTGTGAAGCTTGCCATCATAAGACTCATTTAATTTTAAATTAAATTAAGGGCCCAAAAGGTAAGCACATTGTTCAGGTTATTCCAACTAATGTCCTAAACTTACAATTTCAATGATTCTTCATCCAACTGATGACTCCTACTGTAATAAAGAATTCATGAACCATGGAAACAACTGACAAAAATAAAATAAATAAATATCACTCACTGCTTCGAGAGAAAAGCATCCACTTAGCCTACTCCCAAACCCGCAAAGGGTGAATGTCTAGGGGAAGTTTTTTGTCAAGGTTTTTATCAAGTCTGTAACTATAAAGGGGTAAAAATGGGCACTAAGGGTGACTTTCCATTAAAAACAAGCTAGGTTGGGATGGTCCCAAACTTCTGAGGACTCCAGCTGACATTCACAAGTGTGCACATAGGCAGTGCTCCTGGGATGCAGATGTAACTAAGATGAAATATAAGCCTTAAGTTTTCCAAGGTTCCTTTCTCCCAAGTGAACAGGGACGAATCTGACAAATTCCCTTATTCAACACATTTATTGATCCAATTGCCCTAGTTTTTGTGAAGTTTTCTAACAATGTTCAGTTGACTTCAAAGCAGCAGGAGGAAAACAGCAGAGAAAGTACCTGTTTGGAAATTCTCAAAGAACACCGTGCAAAGAGAGGTGGGAGGCAAGCACACCACTGTAGGATGCTGGGATACCTCTGAAGAGACTGGCCCACCTCATGCCTCCCTCATCTTCCCACACTGGAAAACAAGGGCAGACTAGGGAATGAAAGGAAGTTTCTAGAGAAACACAGAGAAAGGGGCAGGTGTAGAAGGCTGCTTCACAAAGAGGCTAATAGAGTTTGAAATGCTGAGAGTGGAGCAGATCTATTAGGGGTGGCATGTGTGTGCACAGCTGAAGTGGAATAAAGATGAAGGTCATTTGAGATGAGGGAGTCAGAGAACTAGGCTGTAAGTACTAGAAAAGCCATTAAAGGGATTGTGACACATCTTCTGGGTTCTGCAGGACTCATGGACAGGGTGAGACTACTTGGAAGCAAGCATGGCTCCATTTTTATTGCTAGGGAAGGAAAATGGGTAGTGGGAATACTCAACATCCTGGCTCCTCAAGGCTCATGTAGGCATTGGGGACATGTCACTGAAGAGGACATTAGTACTCCAACACTTCTTTCTGCCATCCCTCCCAGCCATGATGCTCTGTGCAAAGGAACAGTGGACTGACACTTCTGAACTGTAAGCCAATTAAGCTTTTCCTCCTTAAAGTTTGTCTCAGCCATTGTGTCACAACAATGTAAAGCAAATCCATAAACTTGGTTGTCAGTTTCCAAAACTAAGAATGAGAGCAAACACAGATGTTCCAGGAAAGAATGAACACTAATTTCATCCTTTGCTTGCTGCCTCATCGATTTGCTGGTAGACTATGGTTACTTATTTAAGAATAATTAAGTAAAAGCAAATGAGAAATAAAAATGAGATAAGCTGAGAGTAAATAATGAGGGCCATGACTGGGAGATAATCCACAGTTTCCAATTCAGAAATAATAGAAGAGGAGGTAGCATTCCCTAGTCACTTGGGAATCTCCCTGTTCTCCTCTCAGGTCACCATTTGTGGTCAAACCATGCCTGATGTCTGAGTGTCTTATCCTCCTTACTCTATGTACCATAAGTAATGTCAGCTCTACTTCACCAAGCCCTCATCTCACCGTTCCCACTGGCTTACTGGCCTATTCTCTCTGGATGTCCCATCAGCTCTTCCCAACCAATACCACTGCAACTCAATTTACAATCTTCCTTCTCCTCTGCTGCTGTTCACATGGTCACTCACACTAGAAAGTCACCTTTTAAAATCTAGTTTGCCTTCCCTTTCTCTCTTTCCCCAACACTGATGGACAAATGCCAATGATTTTGCTACTTTGCAAATCCATTCCTTTTCTTCCATTTTGATCTCTACCCTAAGGCCCTCAGTTTGCTTCCTAAATGGTTCTTTGGGCTCTAAAATACCCTCTGCACCACTACTAGCTCCACCCCTCCTAAACAGCAGCCACATAAACTCACTTCCTCACTGAAAATTTCCCATGGCTCTCAGGGCCTACTGGGATCTCTGCAAGCTCTGAGTGACAATGTGTTAAGAGAAAGAAAGCCTGCCATGGGCCTCACAAAATCAAGGGGAGGATCCAATACAGAGGTATGGAGAGGCACCATCAAAACTACAAAACATTAGCCAATGACTCTTACCCTGTATGAAGCCACAGTCTTCCTTGAGAGTCTGATGAAAGCTTTGATGCTCTATCAAAGGCATAAATGTTTACCTTTACCTACAGGTAAAATCTGCCAGCCAATGTCAGGGCATCTCTGGGTGGGTGCTCAAAGACAATCTAGATTAAAACCCTTGCTTTGGTATGGGTACTCTCACATGGGTATACAGAATTGCAGTATCATCTCAACAGCATTTCCAACCTCACAAACAAGCAATCGGCTCTCCCGTGGGCAGTCTGATTATTCACACAGATGTCTGAAATATTCATCAGCAGGGTCACTGGGCACATAGTGAAGATAGGCAGAAAATTAGTACAGTAGTTAGCATACAGACTTACAGTCATTTCGTCTGAGTGCAGCTGTCCTGACGCACGACTGTTTGAAAAGAACAGGTTATTTTGAAAACAATCAGATGAATTGAGTGAAAAAACTGGCCAGTGGGCCTTCATTCTAACTGAATGGAAATGCAGCGAGGTTCCTTCCTTTTCACGTAGCTCAATGATGCAAACACAGACACGCTGAAGCCATTCCATAGCATAAAAGCTCGTTATTCATGAGCCTGCTTCTTGCAGCTGCATCTCTCATGGCTTGGCTTAGCCTCATTTGTCTGCATGTCTTTCTACAGGTCTGTGCCCACACACACTACATGTTTCAGTTCTCAAGGAAGAAGGCAGAGAGCCACGTTGACTTTATGTAAGGCACATCATACAGAACTGCAGAGGCATGGTCTTTAAGGACAACACATTTCAAACTCTTCACTAGAGAACAACCATAAAGTCCATATCATACAGCCCTTTTATAAAGTTGGTATCATTACCAGTGACTGACCATAAGCCAAAAATAGGTGACAGTGACTGAACATCACTTAAGTGAAACACCACACATCTTGGTGTGTCAAACAGTAAGGGAACCAACATAGAGTAGAATCTCTGTACTAGCAAATGTACAACCACATCATAAGACATGATCATCATTAGTCTGCAAACAATGTGAGTACTTTAAGCAT